CATTCTGCATTATTATTATTATTATTATTATTAATTCAATTTATATACCGCCCTTCTCCCTGAGGACTCAGGGCGGTGCACAGCCAGAATTAAAAACATGAAATACAAATATTAAAAACAATTAAAATCTATATAAATTTGGCCCAAAAATTTAAAAAACCACAAACCAATTAAACATTTAAAAAATTTCTTCCTAAGCCAGCCCGGCGTGTTGGAAAAAGTGGGTTTTAAGGGCACGGCGGAAGGCACTGAGGTCTTGGATTCTCCTTATCTCTGGGGGCAGCTTATTCCAGAGGATAGGTGCCCCCACAGAGGAGGCCCTCCCCCTGGGGGTCACCAGCCTACATTGTTTGGCTGATGGCACCCCGAGGAGGCCCTCTCTGTGGGAGCGCACGGGTCGCTGGGAGGTCATCGGTAGCAGCAGGCGGTCTCGAAGATAGCTAGGCCCTATGCCATGGAGCGCTTTAAAGGTGATGACCAGCACCAATTAATTCCCACAACACTGTCAAATAATTTACTAAGACTGTATTACTATTATTCTTCTCTTCCTTACTAGTATCTGTCTCTTTCCACTTATTGCAATAACCATGTTTCTTGTATCTTTCAATTTATATTGTTTTTATTTGTTTCCTAGTACAATTTGATAGCTTATTAGTAACCTTGACTATCACTAAGTGGTGTAGCTTTTTATTTTTGATGAATGTATTTTATTCTCCTTATGTACACTGAGAGCATATACACCAAAAACAAATTCCTTGTGCATCCAATCACACTTGGCCAATAAAGAATTCTATTCTATTCTTTCTAGCATTACTCACTAGGACAAACAAACATGAAGCACTACTCTTATCAACTGTAGGGTTTTTAAAGGCAGCCTGATGTAGGGTGCCTTGCAGTAGTCTGGTGATGAAAGTGTGAATTATTGTTGCAAGGTGTCCTTAGTCCAGGTAAGTCTGCACCTGGTGTACTAGCTGGACAAAGCTGAACAAAAGCCAGGGCCTCCACCTTCCCATCCACAGTAGCTGTGAATCCAGGACCACACCCAAGACATGGCCTAATCTCTCGTGGACAGCATAGAACATAACGGTGATGTGCTGTTGGGTGTCCCTCATGATACTTTACCCTGAGCCAATAGATGACCTCTGCAAGGGTTGAAAGTTACTGGGGAGAGAAATGTGATAAATGCACTTTTATGTCCCTTCATTTTCCCCCCTGCTTTTGAAATATTACATTTAGCAACAATAAAAAAGAAAAACATTTGAAATGTCTTCTGTCTTTCCCTCCCTCCCTCTCTCTCTCTTTCCCTCCCTCTCTGTTTCTCTCTCTCTCTTACTCACTCCCTCGCACACACACTCACACACACACACCGCAACACCTTTGTCGTCCTCATCCTTGCACTGGGTCAGCCAAGCCCTTCTGGCGAGGGAAAGTCTCAGCATCTGCGGGGTCCCCACTGCCGCCCTCCCCTCCCCAGGCCAGACCTTTTCCGGGCACCCTGCCAAAATCCCAGGGCAGCCACCTCCCTTTACCTGCTCCTGCCACTGATGTGGGGAGGGTGGGGAGGGTAAGAGGAGGCAGCAGAGCCCGGCTAGCCTTAGAAGGGAGATCAGGCGGGCTCCTGAAAGGAGATGGGGGTGGTGGTGATTCTCGTGGGAATGCGGCAGGGAAGCGGGGTGAGCGTGAAGGGCAGGAGGGAGCTGGACCGAAGAAGGGTGAAGCTAGAAGTCGTCCTCTCCTTTCTATTGCTGTGAGGGCTGAAAATTTGCAGGGGTTGATTTGAAAGGCCTAATCCTAGTCTCAACCTTGGGGGGCGGGGGCATTGAACGGTGAAGGCACTCTGCACATCATCAGAGGCAATCGTGCCACAGGAAAAGGGGAAGGGGACCAAGCATGGGGCGAGGAGGTGGGCAGCGAGGGATCCGCTATTGCTGCAGAGATAGAGGGCAGTGTGCAAGATCCCTCTAGTCTAGTCTTATCTCCTCCCCCATTCTCTGCAATTACCGTACTTTTTGAGGTATAAGACGCACCTTTCCCCCCCTTAAAAGGGGGTGAAAATTTAGGTGCGTCTTATACATTGAATGTAGCCCTGCCCACCCACTGGGCCCAACCCTTTGGCCTGTGCCTCGCAGCAGTTACCTCCTTGCAAGCAAACTGCAAGAAAAAACAGCTCCTTTCAGTTTCAGCATAGGCTAATTAGCACAAGTTGATTAGATTGGCATCCCGACTCTCAGCTGCTTTGCTCTCAGCTGTTTTGAGCAGGGCTCTGCTGCTTGCTGCAAAAAGGCTGGAGCAGATTTTTTTCCCCTTGTGCTAATCAAGCTATGCTGAAAACGAAACTGAAAGTAAAGCAGGCTGCTGTTTGCTGCAAAGAAAAATTAGGCAGAGGCAGAGGGAGATTTCTTTTTCTTCTTTTTCGTCACTAAAAAAAGTAGGTGCAAACAATGGGAAATTTAGGGCAAAAGAGGAGAGTTCAAGATGTTAAAACACAAAAGAAAAAAATAAAAAGGCAAAAAGAAAAATGGGAAGGGAGAAAAAGAAATGAAAGAGAAAATGTTATACATATTTAGAATTGAAATATGAATAGTAAGAAATGGAAATCATGTTTGTAAAAATGAAATGAATAATAATTAGAATATTTGTCTTTGTATTTTTGAAATCTAGACTGATAAGTTTTTATTTTTTTTATTTTTTTTAGAAATATGAATAAGTATAAACTGTAACAATTGAAATACCTTTAATGGTATATGGTGGTGAAAGTAAAAAGGATTAAATTGTAGCTTGGATAACAGAACATTTTTAAATTTAATTTTGGAAATTGTAACGATTGAAATATTTTTAATTATATATTGTGATGAAAGTAGAAATGATTAAGTTGTGATTTCGAGGATTATATGGGCAAAACTATTTGGGTTATTGGGAGAATTTAAGATGTGAAAATGAGTAACATAAGGGGAAAGCTCTATTTAACTAGGGAATTGTAATAATTGAGACTATTAATTGTATAGTGTGTTGAAAGCAGAAATGGTTAAGTTGTGATTTGGAGGAATATGGGGAAATTATTTGGTTTATTATTGGTAAATATAATTAATTGATTTGTAAGAAATTGGATTGCATGGAAATAATTGGAATATTCATGTTCATATTGATTAATATACAAAAAAGATAATTATATAACTAATTGATTTATATTAAAATGTTGAATTTGTATTAAACAACTGTGATATTACATAATTAACCAATGTGAGGATGGATATAAAAATAGATGACAATGGAAAGGAGTATAATATAAAATAGAAAGGAAAAATTGAATTTGATTAAGTTTAGAGAAGAGGATGAAGAGTAATATTGGTTTTTTAAAAAAATAGATGAGGAATAAATATGGCAAAAAGGAAATATAGAAATTGTATATTTAATTGAAATGACTAAACACTGTTTAAATTTGTGAACCGGCCAAATACTCTGTCAAAGAAAATACATTGTATGTTTGTATGTGTGTTTGTCTAAAAAAAATAAAAAAAAATTTTTATAAAAAAAAACAAAAAAGGTAGGTGCGTCTTATACTCTGAAAAATATGGTAGGTCTCATCAGCACAAAGGTTATTTGCTTGTGTATCTCTGTAATTTTTGAAAGAAGGAAGGCAAATGACAACTACAGGAGGGAATCGGGGCTGGAAAAAGCAAAAGGTCGGGGAGGGTTTTTTGAAACAGAAGGAAAGGAGCGGGGACCATTTGCAAACAGTTCCCCCGGCTGTCTATCAACTTAAACGGGAGGCGTGAAACAAAACCGCATCCACCAATCAGAGCCCTGTTATGCCCATCGCTTGTTTCGGTGCATGTTTGGCAGCTCTTCGTCTGCTGGGGTGACGGCGTGTGTGCCCACAGAGAGGGCTCTGTGTGCCACCTCTGGCACATGTGCCATAGGTTCGCCACCAGGGTCCTACAGGTTCCAAAGCACCTCTTTCAAATGATTAGCATATTTATGGTAAAAATATGTTTTACATTTGAACTTGCAATAAGATTCAGGAACCAAGGCTTTTTTTCTATAAGGTGGGAAGGTGATTAGCAGAATTGTATTCGTTGTGCTCACTGCACATTCTTAGGTGTTTGTATGGGGATCGCTGTCCTGCTAGAGACTACGTTTATTCTTCTCGTGCTTAATTTCCCACAGATGCATCAGTTTCTATGTTGAATTCAGAAATGAACTTTCTTTGTTGTGGGAGAGTATCTTAAATCCTGGGTCACCTTCTTTTGAGTAATATCTCCAAAATCCAAGTCAAAACCAGCAAAAGTATGGAAAACTAATGATAGCAGCAGATAATTTCATAGGCAAGGCCATTAGGGTCAATGTTAAGAATGAGGTGTGGAATTCTGAATATCAGAGGAGCTTTCTTTCCCCAATGGGACCAGCCCACCGCCCCAGCGGAAGAATCCTGTGATGAAGCCTGTGTGCTAAGGAATTCTAACAGGCAGATTGAAGGAGAGAAGCCTTTTCTGCTCTGGCCCCATCCCTGGGTATCCTTTTGCCACCAGAGATGAGAACTGCTGCCAACCTTTTGGCCTTCCGGGAGGGTATTAAAACTGGGCTTTGCTGGTTGTCTTGGGGCCCCGAGGGGAGTGCTGCCCCCTGGAGGTGGTTGATAGGATAAGAAGACCTCATCCCCATCCCGTCTGACTCTTAAATCTGGTTTCAGCATAGTTTTTAAAATCTGTCTAGTTTTGATATTTTAATTATTTTTCTACTTGTTTTATAACTTGTAAGCTGTCCAGGGTCCCCTTAGAGGGGTGAGGGACAGCATAAAAATGTAAGAAATAAATAATTAAGGCATTAAGGAAATGAGTTGTATGGCACTTTTGCTTAAATAAAACACGGGGTGGACTAGGCTAGACTATCTTATTGTTGAATTGAGAATGGACTGTATCGTATTTATTTGTTCTATACTACAGTATGACTTCTCCACAAGATTCTGCTCTTTCTTAACTGACCTGTATTCTTCTTCTTAGTTATGCTGTTATTGCCTATGGATGTGCCAGCTGCCCTAAACTGACTTGTGAGAGAGAAGGCTGCCAGACTGAGTTTTGCTATCATTGCAAGCAGATATGGCACCCCAACCAAACTTGCGACATGGCCCGCCAGCAGAGAGCACAGACTCTGCGAGTAAGGACAAAGCACACCTCAGGCCTCAGTTACGGACAAGAGTCTGGTCCAGGTATGTATTTGAGAGCACCTTGGTCATTGTGAAGATCATCAGAGAGTTGATCCTGAGATCCTGATGTAGTCAGACATCTCCAGCAACACTAGTGGGCAGGATGTTTATGTGCTGTATAATCTTCCAGGCAAGGTCTTTCATATGCTAGCTGTTCCTGGGCTTTTATTTCCCCACTTGTTCTCCTGGTTGACAGTTACGAGCAGGGACGGAGTCAGAGTTCTGAAGGGGATTCCCATGATATAATGAGAGTGGAAACAAAACCTTTTGTGAACCATTAATGCATATATTTTTTCTTGATGAATGGCATCAAACATGCTGTCTTGAATTCCATGGAAGAAAGTTATTTATTAGGTACATTTAAATAAATATTGGATTGAAGCTTCCTTTCGTTTTACTTCTCAGTTCGTTATTGTGCTAAAGTGTGTCTATCTACCTAGAATGCCTCTTACCAGTGCTTTTGAGGAGCACATTAGGATGAATCTGGGCAGTAAGGATGTTCTGAAAATCCAGATCTTTTAGTTATTACTAATTTCTACCTGTTCCATTAAATTGGGCAGGAGGACCTGGTCTTGATCCATCTGTTAGGTGTTTTTAGGTGTTGGACTCAGGAAATGGGCCTTTTCTGCTGTGTCTGCCCTCTGGAAAACTCTACTGTCCAAGGTTTGATTGGCCCCAACTCTGCTCACCTTTTGGAAAGCTTTGAAGACCTGGCTCTTTTCATAGGCATGGGTTCCAGGCAGGGGTGGGTTCTAAAATTTTTTTACTACTGGTTCTGTGGGCGTGGCTTATTTTGTGGGTGTGGTTTGGTAGTGGGGGTAATGTGACAGTGGGTGTGGCCAACTTTTTCTTTTTAACTTTTAAAAGCATTTTTTCTACAACCTTAGGTTGCAGAAAAAAATGCTTTTAGAAGCCTCTGACGATCAGGCAACTCAGCTCGGATCGCCAGAGGCTTTTAAAGGCATTTTTTCCCCTACAACCTCTTCAGTCGAAAAAATGCTTTTAAAAGCCTCTGATGATCCCAGCTGAGCTGCGCGATCATCAGAGGCTTTTTTTTTACTTTTAAAAGCATTTTTTCGGCCGAAGAGGTTGTAGAAAAAATGCTTTTAAAAGTAAAAAAAAAAGCCTCTGATGAGGTGGGCGGGGTAAGCGACCGGCTGGGGACCGATTCGGGGACGTGGCCAGCCAATGTTATTACCGGTTCTCCAAACTACTACAAATTTTTACTACTGGTTCTTGCGAATCGGTGTGCAACAGGAGCAACCCACCACTGGTTCCAGGAGAATAATCAAGTGCGCGCTATTAGAAAGTGATGTTTGGGAGCCATTTTGTGTTTGTTAGCTGGGAGTAGATATATTTTTAATATACCTTCCGTTTATATTATATTTTAATTTCTATTAATCTCTCAGGATCATATTGGTGAGATGGATGACCATTTTCATCATTCATCACCATTTTAGCCATTGCCTATCCACTGCAAGATGAAGGCCTCTTCTGCTTGTTTCCAACCTATGCAATCCCAATCTCAATATAAATAAATAGCAGTAATATAATTGTATGGGTGGATGGAGATTTCCTCCATAATATATTATATGTACTTCTCCATAATATATTCGATTCACTGGATGGAGCTACAAAGGAGGGGAAATCCACAACAGCATATTACAGATAGTCCTCGATTTACTATGATAATTGAGCCAAAAATTTCTGTTCCTAAATGAAACATTTGTTAAGTGAATTTTGCCCCATTTTCTTGCCACAGTTGTTAAGTGAATCACTGCAGTTATTAAGTTAGAAACACTGTTAAGCGAATGTGGCTTCCCCATTGACTTTGCTCATCAGAAGGTCACAAAAGGAAATCCCATGACCCAGGGACGCTGCAACCGTCGCTAATAAGAGTCAGTTGTCAAGCATGCGAATTTTGATCATGTGACCATGGGGATGCTGCAACGCTTGTAAGTGTGAAAAACGGTCATAAGTCACATAAGTGCTGTTGTAACTTTGAACGGTCATTAAATGAACTGTTGTAAGTTGAGGACTACCTGCATTTCCAACTATTCTTGGTCTGAATCTTTAAAAAGATGGGGATTTCCAATAAGAGTTAAAATTCTGAATGTGCATGTCAAGTATAGCTTTGTGTTCTCATGCTGTTTAAAATGCAGAATCCGCTTTATAGCAGGCTAAATATATCCCTGTAGCCAAATGCTCTGTTTTCCATGTGGCAACTTTTATGACCATTTTCCCACAGAGGTCGATGTCGCTGATCTTTTCTTAATGAGCACAAGTGGATCGCTGCTGAGCCATTCTCTTTTGCAGTCTTGTCAACTATATAAGAACCATCCTGGAGGAATAATTTGTTAGACACAGGATAGCCTTTGAATGAGTAAGGCTTGATCCTCAGTGCGGTTAAGCTCAGTGTTTTGGGCTTTCAGATGATGTAACCTCTGCTTCCCTGTTCAGAAAGGGCCCCCCCAGAAAAAGTAAAGGTACAAGGATTCATCATCTTCTTTTTTGTAATAAGACAGCTGAATAAGTTTTGGTTCCTTACTGGCATCTCCTTAATGTGCAGAGTTAAGAAGTTGACTAGTTTTCTTTTCACTTTCACAGCCGATGACATCAAGCCATGTCCCCGCTGCAGTGCCTACATTATCAAAATGAACGATGGCAGCTGTAATCATATGACTTGCGCTGTATGTGGCTGTGAATTCTGTTGGCTGTGTATGAAGGAAATTTCTGATTTGCATTACCTCAGGTAATTTGGTTGGGGGGGGCCTCTTGTTTTGTTTCGCTAGCTGATAATTTGCTCATGCCTTTTTTGTTTCCCCAAAACCCACAGTTGTGAAATCATACCATTGGCATTGTTCTATGTACAGCAAGTGATCCCAATGGTTGTATTCTTTCATCCGGAAGTTAAAACTTTGGGAGACAACAATGTTGGGACGGGGAGCAATTCCAACTGAGGAGCTACTTGGTTCCTCTGAACACTCTTTCAGCCCTTTGGGGAAATAGATTTGATGGAACACTTGTAGCAGACGTGTGACTCTGAATAGCTGAATTCTCTGTGAAATCTCTTGCAGTCCTTCTGGTTGTACCTTCTGGGGCAAAAAGCCATGGAGCCGTAAGAAGAAGATTCTATGGCAACTGGGAACGTTGATTGGTGCCCCCGTAGGGATTTCTCTGATTGCTGGCATTGCTATTCCAGCCATGGTCATTGGGATCCCTGTTTACGTTGGGAGGAAGGTAAGCATGAGCAGAGTTGCAAGGGGGCATTTTATAAGCCTTACGGAGGGGATCTAATGAAATGTCAGCTTTTGCCTTGAAGGTATAGAGAAGGCTTGATGTTCAAGAAAAATGTGCCATATGTAAACTCGACGTCTGGGGCAGGAATGAGCTGCCTGTTAATTCCATATACATAACAATAATAACAGTAACAGAGTTGGAAGGGACCTTGGAGGTCATCTGGTCTAACTAGTCAAGGAGACCTATACTAGGGATTCGAACTGCCGAACTTCCGACCTTTCTGATCGACATATTTAATTAATGATTACAAAGGGAACATCGCTGCAGGTTTTTGTGATACTATTGTTTGCTACACTGAGCTGCTGTGGACGTAGTGACATTTTTATCTCTTTTGGGTACTTCAACCTTTTTTCTTTTTTCAGAGATATAGTGCATGTGTCTTCAGGAGTGTATAACAGAATCTCTGTACTGATAATCTTTTCCAAGTTTAATTCTTATTTATTATTGATTGTTTATGCACCAGATTCACAGCAGATACGAGGGAAAGAAGACTTCCAAACATAAGAGGAATTTAGCTATCACGGGTGGAGTAACCTTGTCTGTGATTGCATCCCCTGTCATTGCTGCGGTCAGTGTTGGTAAGATAAATTTCTCTTCTCAAGGATGTGCTAGGGTGCTTGGGCTTTGCTCTGGCAGTAGTTTTCAGAGGGGCTGATCCCTGAGCCAACATAGAAGTTCTGGATCTGAATTACAGACAAGCCTATTTAAAATTCAGATGCAGTTCTGCAGAGCAATTGCGGGACTTCATACAGCTTAAAGGGATTTTTCATATTCTTCTGGTGGAAGAATTACTCTGTGCCTACACTCCTAGTCAGGGCTTTTGACTGTTTTTATGGGGCCATCACTGACAATTCCATTAGTCAAGTCAGAGGAACATTCCTGTTGAGCTTTCCCCATTTTTTGATAATTCAGAAACCTTCTGTTTGGTTTAATTGGCAGAAGTTATAGTGGGATTACACTGGTTGGTAGGGAATATGTTTAAAGTGCTACAAAATAGTTTTAGACTAGAATAGAGCTGGAAGGGACTTCGGAGGTCTTCTGCTCCAGCCCCCTGCTCAAGCAGGAGATCCTATGCCATTTCAGACAAGTGACTGTCCACTGTGTCCAGTCTCTTCTTAAAAACCTCCAGTGATGAAGCACCCACAAGAAGTTGAAGGCAAGCTGATCCACTATTAATTGTCCTCACTGTTAGGAAGTTTCTCCTTAATTCCAGGTTAGTTTTTGATTAGTTTCTTTGATTAGTTTCCAACCATTATTTTGTACAGGATGAGTGCAATTGCTATTGTATTTGCTTGAGGAAAGGAACCAGCATGGGCTCAAGAGTCCCCCATTGTCAATTATTTTGGTAAATCATACTCTTTGCCTTGGAGAATACTCACCTTCTTTTTTGTAAGATTTCAGTAGGATTCAACCAGGACCCCTTTGGCCTCTTCCCCCAACTGTACCGTCTCCTGATTCTGCTTCATCCTTTCTTGATACCTTTCTTTGGGCCTGCTGAGAGTTTTTCCTGTTTCCAGTGCTGCTTTTCATGCCTGCTCTTTGGGGCTGGAGGTCAGAACAAAGCGTCTCACTGCTCTGGTGTGCTGTTCCTGAGCATGTTCAGTGTCTAGAACAGAGCAGGCAACCTCTCCACAGCCAGGGAAATACGACATTAGGGAGAGTGGTTGAGAGCCACAGTGGGCAAAGCAGTGGCCTCTCTGAATGGGCAGAACTTGGTGTGGTAAACTAATGGCTGGGGGAGGCGTATTAAGCCTAAAAAGAGACCTTTGAAAGAACTGACAAGAAATGGACGTGTGTGTGTGTGTGTGTGTGTGTGTTAAGTGGTTTTGCCTGATGATGTAATTTCTTGAACAACAAAAGCGGTTCCGGGACTGCGTGCGCTTCATGGCCTGGGGTTGGCCGCTCCTTATCTAGGCAAACCTGAAGAGCAACCTTGAGAAATGTGACAATGAAATTTTGCAATGTTCATCCTTTGCCTCAATCCGCCTTCCACTCAAAACTCATTGCAGATTTTCTTTATATATATCATTATTTTGTCTTGATTTAATAAATTGTTTTCTGTATGACCAAGGTAGTTTAGAAAGAGGCAATTTATAATTATTTTCTATTGTCATAAGATACAATGTTATATTTTAAAACTCAGTTTCTCTTTCAATTTGATAGCATGGTCATACTTTCTGTGAACACGGAAGTGGGTAGAATTAAACCAGCCTCACTGATTTAATGTGCTGATTAAAAGGGGAAGGAACTGTAGGAACTGGAAGAGGTGGCAGCTTTTGAACCTAGTTCATTCAGTCTAAAAACATAATACAAAAGTGGAAAAAAATCTTGGCACAGCTATGATCAAAAGAGAAAGTCTAGTTGCCAGAACCAACCACTGCTTGGAAGGCAGTTAAGTGGTAGACCCTTTTTATTTTTGCCATGTAACCCCCCCCCCCCCTCACCCCACACACCCCACAGGTCTGTCAACCTGTGAAAACTAACTAACAGCTGGTGCCATTTCTCTGTCTGGGAGCTCGAGGCTTCCCCACAACCAATTCCAGATTAGAGAATATCTCTTGGGAAAAGTGTGGCTGTCCCCATGCTCTCTTCTTGCAGGAGCCAATGGAGGCTTGTTCCCCTTGGCATTTATGAAGTAGCCAAGGGTTCTGGTTAGTTGGCACATCTGATTTTTAAAGTAAATTTTGTTTTAATTTTTATTTTGGTTATTTTTAGTTATTTTTGTGTTTATTTAAAAATAATATGAGAATAAAAGTTATTTAATCAAATATTCTTTCTAAACGGTGGGTAACGATAGCATTAATAGTTTCAGAATTAAAACATAGTATTTGTTTTAAAAGTGGCAGATTCTGCCTACCTTAAAATTGTAACTAGATTTCTTCTAGTAATAATTTCATTACGAATAAATATAATATATGAAGTCATGGTATTGGCACATGGATGATTCTTGATGGGATCAATGCACACTTCTTGTGTAACTGAGCTAATGGTGGTGGAGCTGCCTGGCTTTGTCCTGACTACATGCCTAGCACATAGCTGTCATTTGTGAGTTGAGTGGTTAGCTTGCTGTCCAAATGCAGGAGGCTTCATAAATAAACCTGTTATAAACGATAGGGTTTTTTTGAGTATAGAGAAAATATGCAGGTCTTATGCTGCAAAAGGGACCCAGTTTTGATCCAGTGTTTGAAACGTATGTCCTGCATTTATTTGTAGACTCTGATTTTTTTTTTCTCATTGGAGTAAGCGAGGCTACACTGCATTGAGACCTTGGTGTTCTTAGACACACAAAGCATTGGTCTTTAGGCTGAAATCGGATCAAATCATTCTTTTCATGTGCTTTGGACAGCCAAGATTGTTGATACCACTTAACATACTTTTTTGTTGCTGTTGTTCAAAACTAGCCTATCATAAACAAGGTTATACTTTAAGTTTGTTTCCTGTATTCTCCTTAACCAGGGTTTTAAAAATATATATATTCTCCTGTCATTATCACATAACCGAGTGTGTTTTGTGAAATTCAGTTTTTTATAAATTGAGATTTTACCTTCTGTCTCCTCTCCCCCCCCCCCCCCCCCCGCCCAAGGATAGTAACATCTATCATGCTTCTTATTTCCAAGGCAATCCGTTCTCCATACGTAAATACTGAGGAATGACCTATTTGAGGCTTTCTTGTTTCTGTTGGTCTTCTAAGGCAGTGTTCCCCAACCTTTCCAGATTGGCGGCCCGGCTTGGGGGGGGGGGAAGAGGGGATGGATTTGTGTGAGGGGCAGGAGGCACATGTACCCACCACTTGCATGAATGGGGCTGCACATATACCTGTGCCAGCCTGCCACTCGCATGGCCCAGTTGAGAATAGGCCTCGGCCCACAGGTTGGGGACCCCAGCTCTCAGGCTTTGGTGATGCAAGAAGCCTTGTGTTCCAAGTATATCACTACTAATCAGCCAGTTGGAGTTCCACATTTAGACAGGAAACAAATGAAAGGAACAGGGGACTGACACATTATTGCTGTTTGTCAAGTAGCCATCTGTGGAGGTATTCCACCCTACCCCTTCCCCACCATTGGTATTCATAGTCCAGTTATGGTCACATCTCTACTGGTAAAAAGCTCAAGGACCTTAAGCCTGTAGGACAGTCTGGCGATTCTCTGTGTGGGAAAGCAGACACGGACACACATTTACCAGCCAAAAATCTCTCTCCCATATAAGATAGCAAGATAGTATGTAAGGTAGTACTTGCACCATCAGGGCAAATGATTTCATTTGTAACGTTACAGACTGAATTGCAGTCTGCAGTCTACCTGAATACCTTCTATGGACAATTGGTAACAACTGCTGAGATGTACTACTTTGGATTGAAAAGCCTTTTCTTTCCTGTAGAATTCTTGCTGTTTATTGATATGCAGCTTTTGTTCCTAGGTATTGGTGTCCCTATCATGTTGGCCTATGTGTATGGAGTAGTCCCCATTTCTTTGTGCCGAGGAGGAGGTTGTGGTGTCAGCACAGCCAATGGAAAAGGGGTTAAAATTGAGTTTGATGAAGATGATGGGCCAATTACAGGTAAAGAAGTAGCCCACTCTGGTCATAATCTTGGGGGAAGGGCACTTGGGAACAAGGAGGGCAGTACTGGAGAGTTCTGTGGGCAGCTTTGGATGGGTGAGGTCATTCTTACACAATAAATTTGTAAAGGCAAGTAGACAGTTCCTACCATGCAGGTAAAGCATCTTCCACATTTTTGTTTATCACTCCTCCACAAAAATATTTCTAAATTGCCCAATTATAGCTCTCCAGTACTTATTTATTTACTTGATTTATGTATCACTTTTATGTGACACTAGGTGGCTTTACAATAAAACAAAGCAAATAACGCCAAAATAAAAACACACAGCAGCTTGGCCCAATCTAATCCATAAATAATAAATAACTTTATTGTCATAAAGTTAAAATAAAAATAAAAACCCATCATCCACAGAGCCAGGAAACAGACTCTAACCCCCACCCTGGGCCCCAGCCCCAGCCTCAATCACAAAGCCAGTATTTTACTTCTTGGGGCGCAATTCCAGCTGGTTCCTCTTTTACTCTAAGGGGGATTCTGCCTAACTGCCTTCCGTTTTGTGCTGTTTCACCTCCTTCTTCTTGCTTAGTGGCAGATGCTTGGAGGGCACTCAAAAACCCCAGCATCGGTGAGAGCAGCATTGAAGGGCTGACGAGTGTTTTGAGCACCAGTGGAAGCCCCACCGATGGGCTCAGCGTCATGCAGGGCAACTACAGTGAAACAGCCAGCTTTGCTGCACTCTCTGGAGGCACTCTAAGTGGCGGAGTCCTTTTAGGAGGGAAAGGAAAATACAGCCGGTAAATATTCATGCTTGCTGAAGTGTGTGGGGGTGGGCATGTATGTGTTGCAGGAACATGGAATCTGGGACCACATATACCTATGTGGCAAATAATGACTTTGATTCTGTTGTACAGCACCCAACTTAACTAGACCATGATATAATGGCCATGAATAGCACTGAATTGGCCACTTTTCTGAGAACTAGGAGGCTTTTGCAGTTTACCACTAAATTGATTGAGGGATGGGAGAGCTGGTCCTGAGCCAAACGTTTATGACCGTTTTTTCTCTGCTCCCCAAGTGAAATGCAGACTCTCCTCCTGTGAAAACTGAGCAGTGGAGAAATTGCCTCTAGAGTGTTGAGAAAAGTGTGCTGCTGCGTGCTGGGGAGAGTGGGAGTGGATGGTGCTTCTTAGGATGAAAGAAGCAAAGTCAAAGTTCATCCAAATGGATAATGTGAAAAGAAGAATCTTAAAACTGAGGCCTGTGACATTCAGGGTTTGTGGATGTCTCCACTCATGGTTTTCATGTGATCAGAACCACATTCTACCTCAGTTAGGTGGGTTTGGGGAAACATCCTTACACCACTTTCTTTCTCTTGGTCAGGCTTGAAGTGCAGGCTGATGTGCAGAAAGAGATCTTTCCAAAGGATTCGGTCAGCCTCGGAGCCATCAGTGACAATGCGAGCACACGAGCCATGGCAGGCTCCATCATCAGTTCCTACAATCCCCAGGACAGGTGAGCCAATCTAGGGAGGTCAAAATCTGTCGTCCTTAGAGAGAGCTTTTATACAACTTGGTTTTGTCAAAAAGACATTCTTGTTTTTGCTATGTTTGGCTAGAAAACAAATGCAGATTCTAAGGTGTGTGTTTTGAAGATTCCTAAATTCTGCAAGTCAATTAAAATTAGAGAAAGTTCCCTAAAAGTATGTGATGGTTCACATGCGGGTATATATTTCATTATTCTGTCCTTTGTGCAAAATCTTATGAGAAATAGCTTAATCTGAATGAGCCATTCAGCTGCAAGACTTCCTGTAGTAGGAAGAGCTGTGCCTAGAAGAGAAGTGAACTCTGCATGTGGCTGTTCTCCCTCCCCATTGTGTGGTGGCCATGCCTGAAAGTGTGGAATATGCAGAGGAGCCAATAACTCCAGCCTGGTGAGAAAGGGAGGGATTTGGTTTGAAGCCTCAGCCGGTGTTTGTGGATAGCAGATAAAAGGGTGCTTGGGCAGTTCTTGGCAGGGCATCCCTAAGGACCCTTTTGTATTCCTAATTCTTTTCCTTGAAAAATATGCATATATATATATATATATATATATATACACACACACACACACACAACTTGGTTTTGTCAAAAAGGCATATATATATATGCATATTTTTCAAGGAAAAGAATTAGGAATACAAAAAGGTCCTTAGGGATGTCCTGCCAAGAACTGCCAATATATATCCCAAACAATATATATCCTAAAGAGAAGATAGAAAGAGTTGCCCTCTCTTTGAAAGCTACAGTGCCAGGGCAAAAGGGAATCCACCATGTGTGTTCCTGCTAAATTAGCTTTCCATGCCCTGGGAGCCTTTGCTGCTCCTCACATTAGCATCTGTGTCCCAGGATAAGACAAGTTCATCTTACAATTTATCAACCTTGTTGGTAACATGGAGCTTCACATGGTGCACTTTTCCCACAGAGAGTGCAACAACATGGAAATCCAGGTGGACATAGAGACCAAGCCCAGCCATTATCAGCTTGTTAGTGGAAGCAGCACCGAGGATTCCCTCCATGTCCCGACCCAAATGGCAGAAAACGAGGAGGAGGAAGAGGAGGAGGAGGAGGAGCAAATATGCAACCACCAAAGCTGTGAGCAGAAGGACTGTGTGGCCAGCAAAACCTGGGACATCACTCTGGCACAGCCCGAGAGCATCCGCAGTGACCTGGAGAGCTCAGACAGCCAATCCGACGATGTGCCCGACATCACCCTGGATGAATGTGACTCCCCCTTCCCCCAGACTGCTGCCTGCCTCCACCCCCCCAGTGCCAGAGGGGCTGGGAGCCCAAGTGCCCGCATTGGCCACTGTGCCCAAGCAGACGGACACCGGCCAGAGGAGAGAACACTGGAGTGCCTTGAGGCCCGAGGGTGAAGCCCCTCCCTCCCCCCCCCTCAGCTTTTGCTCCTGGTTCCCCGGGTGACTGCCCTAATCTGGACCCTGGGTACATGGCTTTTCTTACATGAGGATAAAACCTCAGTTTTCTTTTTTTATTTATTGATTTAAGCGCTTGGTGATGCTCAGTGAGTTCTGTAAGAGTGTACATAAATGTGTGCGTGTATATTGTATGTTTGCCAAACACACACCTAAAGAATGCCTTTAATAAATATTCCTGTTCCATTCTCATTGGATCCTGTTTGCCCAGTGAATCTGTCTGGATTTTCCGATAGGCACTTCTCTGCTCCTGAAACTCTTTCCTTGAAATCCACCCCCACCCCACCCATCTCAGGCAGGGTGGCCATCTGGCCAGCATTGCTGCTTGGGAGTCTGACTGGGAAGGCAAAGCATGTATATTTGCTGCCCCCTAGAGGACTTTGCTCCCTCTGGTCAGATGCCTCCTTTGGACAAGGATCCAAAAGGATCCTGAAGCTGGGCTGGAGCAGGTGACCGTGGGGCCTCCAGAGCAGGGGTGTCAACCTCAATTTTATTGAGGGCTGCATCAGAGTTCTGGGGCCAGGGTGGGCATGGCCAGCTCAATGTCACTCATGTTGGGGGCGTCTGTGGTGGCCCAAGGGCTCTGCCTGCAAAAACGGGCTCCCGAGTTCCATTTTCAGCTGCAACGGCCTCCTGCAACCCTCTGCCAGTGGAAACAAAACTCAAGAGGGCCACCCACACCCCTCCAGAGCTCTGTTTTTGCTGGCAGAGGCACCATGGGCTGGTCCTTTGCAGTGTCCAGGGCGGCCATGTGGGCCAGATCCAGCCCCCGGGCCTTGAGTTTGACACCCCTGCTCTAGAGGGTTTGGAGGAATTAGAGGGCAACAGATTGCCTATTCCTGTTGCCTGGGATTTCCCGTTTTCAGATTTGGGAACTGGATTTGCCTAGCAGGTTAACCCTGAAACTGTTGCTGTATTTGCCCAAACCAGTAACACCTTAGATGGCCTACAAAGGGAGGCACACAACATTCTAAGACAAAAGATGGATTTCACTAAGCTAAACTGCAAATGTTTTAACCTCATTTCACCCTAGTCTATTAAGCTGTATGAATTCAGCTATAAGTAATACGAATATTTAAACTACACGTGTTTCTGGTTTTCAGCTGCAGAAAGGAAGAATATTTCGGAATGTTATATGAAATGCAAGAAGGGAGAAGATTTATCTTCTGGAACTATCATATAATGAGTGCGTGCTTTTGAGTTTCCACTTCTTTTTAAATACTTTTTAAAAAGTATTTTACTTTCCTACCCAAAAGAGCAGGAATGTGGAGCAAGGAATAGATCCTTTGCTTTTTAACCCCCGGGTATTGTTAAATAGCATAAAATAAATGTTTGTTAGAAAGAGCAAAGAATGAAGAGATAGTGCATCACTTTAGCAAGCTCTGTTTGAGGTCCCATTCTCTTCTTTTCTTTATCCTGAAATAAGAGGGCATTGTTGCTCGTCCACACTTCTTCATGTAAACCTGTCATTAAATGTGGAGGAGGGCTTCTTAGACCAAGAAGATGTATCACTTGGATTGCCCTCGGCTTTACAGTCCCTTCAAATCGAGCCCTCCAATGTCATCCCATTGCTTAAATAGCCTGTGCCTTCCCACTGGCTCTGAGGAAGAAAGTGTTCAGGGAGAGAAGCTATGAATTTTCCCCAAGGAACTGGAAAAAGTTTGTCTCCCAAGAGATGCTGGGATAATTAAATTTCTTTCCCCGTCTTCCTTTCAGGGGAAAGATCTGCCCTTGCCTTTTGGCTCAAAAATAAATCAGTTGCTTCTGGACAAGACGCTATTGTAAAATGAAATTAAAAAAAAAAAATGGAGGAAGAGAACAAGTCACTTGCGTGCTGAAAAAAATTACATGAATATGACCCTGAAGCTCAAGGGAGATTTTACTTTTAAAAGTACCCAGAAAGTTTTTGTTCTTTTTATATTATAAAATACGTTTTATAGATCAAGCAGATAAAATCCATTAAAAAGTGCATACAGTTCTGTAAAAAAAAAAAAAAGGCCTAAACAATGGCATAGGAAACAAAAATCAGGAACAGCAATAAAGTAGAAGTAAGTACAGAATAAAATACCAACAGATGTCCAGAAAACAATCTTAATGGGCTGTTTAGAGCCCAAAGGGGGCCTCCCTCCACAGACCTGATGCCACTGTGGCTGCCGGGGCATCTGGAAAGGACTTCTGGTGAAGAGCCGGGGCCTCTGGGGCAAAAGCCTGGTTTCTGCATCTGTCTGCAGCCTTTGGCTCCTTAGACGAAATGGCATCAACCAAGCTTGGCTAACTTCTGAAAGCTCTGCCTGGTGAGGCCTAGAAAGAATTTGGAGGAGACACCACCAGGTCAGTCCAGGACCAGGAGCCACATTCCAGAAAGATGCACCAGAGACCCAAAAGCTGCAGTGGAGAATCAGCCAAAAGGAAACTGGCCTTTTCCACACCTCACGGCTAACCCTGTGGCAACTTCAAGATGTGGGGCCTTCAGAGCCCAGAATTCCCCCGACAGCCAGGCTGGACTCTGCCCAGTTTAAGAGTTGCCCCGGTTGAGAAATCCTGGCTTCGGCCCACTGGCTTCCCACAGCCCGTTTAACCACAAACAACGCCAAACCAAGGTTGCACAACCAGGGCTAGGGGGCTGCTTCGCCCAAACGCCCAGCGAAGCTGCTGCTTGCCCCGCCTGGACCCCACAGCCGCTCCCGGCCTCTGCTTCCCGCGGTCGCCTGCCCGCCTGGCCCGGGGCGCGCTCAGCACGGCGGCGGCGGCGGCAGCGGCTGGGCCGGGTGGGGCCGGCAGGTGAGTCACGTCTCCCGCTCGCGGAGGCCGAAGGTGGAGCCGGGCCTTTTGTTCGGGGCCCGCCGGCCGAAGAGGAAGGGACGAAGGGCGGCAGCGGGAGGAGCAGGTATCGGAGCGCCGCCGAGCCGGGACAGGTGGCCGGTAGAGGCGCTTCTGCAACGGAGCTGAGCCGGCGCCCGTCCCGGCGGGGATGGGCTGAGTTCCGCACGGCCCCCATGTGTCGCCTGGGTGAGTTGAGTGGAGGCCCCGCGGCGTCCGGGGAGGCGAGGGGGGGGTGGTGGCCAGCCGTCCTTGAGGGCCTCGGTCGGCCTTCCAGGGCTCTTTCCTGCGGGGCCCCCGAGCTCTTGGGGAAAGCGGGCGCTCGGCGTGATTGGCCCCGCCGGCCGCAGCCGTTCCGGCGGGGGAGAACAGGGGCTGAAACTTGGGCGGACCCCTCTTTTCTCCCCCTCCCCGCCGGGCTTCGGGTGCCCCTCACGCTCCGAGCGGCGGCGGGGTCTCTTCCCGTGTCCAGGGGGATCAGGGGGATGGGAAGTCCGGGGTGCTGAAATTAGAAATCAGACTCAGGTTTATTCACGCAGCGAAAGGTGCAGAAACGTGCATAGAGCGTCTGCCTTTTAGCACATGAGGAGTTTTTCCGGGATACATTTAGCTGGTCTTACATTTTTAATTGGGAGATCATGCAGAGCAGGGGGACAAATGTTAGCGTTGCAATTAATATGAAAAGTAGTTTTCTTATGCGTTAAATCCCAGGAGAGTGTTGGGAGAAAGTGGTTAGCTAACATTAAATGGAAATGTTTGCTCTTTCAAAACAAAATTATCTTTATTTACTGTTTTGGTTAACAGCGAAAAATGCAAACAGCCTTTTCCAAATATGGTTTTTTTTAAGTTGTAGTTATCTTGTTTAACACTTACTGGGAGCAATTCTGCTACAAACAACCTCTCCCTTAAAGGAATTTGCAGACGGCTGTATGCTTGATTTATTTAGTATAATTCTTTTCAATCCAATAATGAGAGTTCTGGGGCCAGACTGCAAAACCGTTAATGTAAATGAATCTCTGAAGAAATAGGAAGAACATAAATTGAACTAAAAATGGAAGAGTCATGTGCATTATCTAAAAACGATCTAGACAAACTTTCCATAATTAGAAAATTTTAAAGGCTGATGAAATGTAAAATCTTGTACAAAATGTTGTACAAAATATGCCTTAATGAGGCTTTCCAAATGCCTGTCATACAAACACTAAAACAGCACTGCATGGATATTGTCTTGGTGGTCTAAAAGTCCTGATATTTGCCCTGGAGGAATTTAAAGTCAGGTGAACAAAAGAGATGGGAATTCAGCTGCCCAACCGGATTTTGGAGAAGCAGGGTCCACTCATCATGGCCCAAGAGGGCCCGTTGCATTCCAAACAGCCTTTCTTGCTCTCCCCCCACATTCCCCCCCCCCTTCACACTTTGTAACTTGTGTAGATTTATGGGCTGTTCTGGCCTCATTCATTCTGCTGTTTCAGCAATGATTAAACTTTAAAGGAAGGCCCTGGTTCTTTCCCATAGGAAACTCTATATAATAGACTTCCTTATGGCTCCTGGCTCAACCTGTGGGAGATAAATTGGCTGGGGGAGCAACTGCCCATCCCTGCTGAGCCCATGGCACCACCTCCCCAGTATTGTCGTGGAAGAGATCCTGCATGCCTGAGGCACAGCCAGGACTGCATATGGAAGAGCACCACAGAGCCCTCCCTCCCCCAACTTCTGTGTTCCTTCTGAAGAAGGAAGGAGATGGTGCATCTTCCTTCTCCAGACAAGAACAGCCAGGTGAAAACTCATAAAAGTTAACTAAAAGCTGTAAACCAAGATAAAGAGATAGGTAGGTTCATGGGAAGGGACTCAATAGAAGGGTTGATCTGGTGTAGGACTGGGAGAACCGGTTGCCTCCGGATGTTCTAAACGTCATCTCTCTCTCTCCCCATATCTACCTGTTGGCCAACTGACCAGGGTAATGGGAACTGCAGTTCAGCTGCTTCTACAGGGTCAGACCTTACCTACCTGAGCAACGCCTGTCCAAAAGCTCTTGGCCACCCTCTTGAGTCCTGGTTGGGCTTGCAGCTGTTTTTCCATCAGGATGCTTGAAGCAGTTTAGATTCCAAGTTTCTAGTGTCATGACCCACTAGGTAGACCAGACCAGAAACTCATCTCCACAGGAAAGCTAGATCAAGACAATGTAAATCATAACAACAGATTTTTGCAAATCTGACTGTGCTTCTCCTCCCGTCCTCCTTATACCCAGTAAATCAGGAAGGCGTTTACCTTTTGACTATTATCTTGCTTCCCATGACTTCTTTAATTCTTTATTGTTTCTTTGCCTAGCCCTGGATAATGCTTCTTGCATATTTCTGTCAGGGAACAGTTCCTTTTCTCTGCACATCTAGCTGCATCAGAGCATCTACCATAGCTTGCTTTTTAAAGCTTACCCTAAATTGCATTTACAGACATTTTTTGTGTGTGGCTTTAATCAGTCTAAAACATTTGATGTTCCCTGAAATTGGGCCAAATCATTTGTAAATAAGCTGAGAAGAGCAGTCCTAGTATAAATTGTTAGGGGAAAAAACATCTGGACAGACTCCGTTATAAGATGTGCCCCAGTATTACTATTCTCGGCACCTTTATTGACCAATCGGAAGCCCCCTCACTTATCCCAGACTGGCTTAATTCATAGAGGAGCCTTTGGGGAGGAATTTTGAAGTCCAAGTAAACTATGTTCATCAGATGATTTCTGAGGTTGCTTCAGAAAAGAGTTAGGGAGGGAGGGAGGGAGGGAGGAGAGAAGAGAGTCAGCAAAGTTTTGAGAACTGTGTGATGAGGAGCACCAGGGGGAGATGCTTCCCAGAGACATAAGATTGGCCCCTGCATTAGGATCAGAGATGCCTCTTGATGCCTTGACTCAGCAGGCCTGCTCTTGCCCAGAGGCAACGTTTGCTACGTAAAACTTCACATTGTGCAGCATGTCTAGTTCTCTCCTCCTTTCCTGTGATGCAAAACTGTGTACTGGAACAAATCTGTTTCTTTCTCAGGTATGATTGACACCAGCAGCTCCCAGAAACTCTTGATGAAAACAGGACTCATCCTGATTGTCATTGGTCACCTGAACTTCATTTCGGGAGCCCTGGTCAATGGGACAGTCTTGCGCCACATTGCCAACCCCCAAGATACCATTTCGTTGCAGTATGCTATTTCTAACATCATTTCAGCCATCTCGGCCATCTTGGTAGGTAGCCTGGTTTATATGATACGGAGGGATCAGTGGAAGAACCAACGAGTCCATCTCCCTGTTCTGCTGCCTTGCGTGGCCCGCAGGGCATGCCAAAGGCAAGCTCATTCTTCTGCCCCTATGGTGCAGGGTCCCCTGGATAAGTTAGCCCCCAATCAAAAAAGTCGAATGCAAATAATTATCACTTTAACTGCCATACGCTATTTTAAAGTCAGAAACAGAGCAAAAATCAGTTACTGGTTCTGATGGGTACCCACAAAATAAGTGCCATCTGATTTTCTCTCCCTCTTAATGATAAAGTTGGGAATTGTGCCAAATGTGGTATTAATGTGTTATGACTGAAGTTAGAATGATTCTGCAGTAGCAAAAGGCAAGCATAATTCTAAAGCTATTACCTTGCCAGAGATTTCAAATTCCTTTGAATAATAGAACAATCACTTTAGATCTTGGAATCATCAAAATTAATTCCTGCAAAGCCATCAGCTGTTCTCAATTTGCTGGAATTTTATCTTGAAGACAACATCTGGAGGGAGGAATTGCATCAACGTACTGTAATCTGTTGCTGCTGCTGCTGCTGCTGCTGCTCTTTGCATGGGGTAATTTCCTGGTTTTCCCTTTACAGACAATATCCTGTGGAATAGCAGCCATTGTGCTTTCCAGATACCTATCCCAAAAACCATTGGTAAGCAATCTTATCCCTGTGGCAGTTTAGAGCAGAAATACCTCCAGTGAGAAAATGAGCTAGGTTTCTGGATGAGAATTCCATAATAGGCTACACCCCCAACTGTTTGCAGAAGCTCTTGCTAACTCCCTTAGGAAAGATTGGATTAACCTTGAGCCTCATTTTCTCTCCTTCACCACACCCATCATCTGCTTATCTTCAGGGTCATCAGGCTCTTCTACACTCCCTCTCCCATCCAGGAACATGCAGTAACTCCATAAAACGATGCTTTAAGTAAACAGCTTTCCAGGCTACAGAGGGTGTTTTTGTAATTCCCTTATCAATGTGTATTGGGAGGGAACTATAAACAGGCCTTTGCATGTAGCTCTGCTTGGTTTATTTACTATATTTTGAATTGCCCACTAAGGAGAGTATTTTAGGCAGACTACAAAACTGTTTAATATAAATGCCTCTACAAATAGAATAAGAAAAACAATGAACTAAAATATAGAGAAGTCATATGGAAGATGTGCAATTATCTAACATCCATCTATGCAAATTATTTCCATAACATTCAAATTCTAAATGCTGCTGTAATGGAAAATTTTGCACAGAATTGTGTCACTTATATAAAAATGTGCTAATTAGACTATCCAAAATGCAGATCAATATCCAGGAAGCATAAAAATCATCCTGAAAGGCTTCTTTCCATTCTGCAATAGTTTCCTTAAGAAACGTTCAGTTTGCCATTATCCATGCTGGAAGAGCGTAAGTGCCATTTCTGGCAGGATGATTGCTTGATTGATTAATTACATGTATTATAGCTGCCTACTCCAAAACTTTAGTTTGCTGGGGAAGAGTTTCTCCACTTTGTGAACATGAAGCCCTTTAGATCAGGGTTTCTCAGCCAACATGGGGGACATCTCAAAATTGGTAAGATTAAAAAAAACACCCTTGCTTTAATTCATAATTTTAAATCCCGCGGACCACTAATATGATCTGCCTAATGACCGGCTGGATGGGAGTGGCTAGGTGGTCATGTGACTGGGTGGGCATGGTGAACTCAATGTCACTCATGTCGAGGGGCGCCTCGCCAGCCTCTACTCACCCCTCCCCTCCCAGCCACTCCTTGCCTGCCTGCCCGGGCTCCTTAGGGCCCCAACAGGAAGCAGTTGTTGGAGCTAAGCAGCCAATACGAGAAAGAGTTGGCAAAACAGCTCAGTTCAAATTGGATCTGACCGAGAAGGAGGCTCAGCAGAAGCACCTCACTGAGGACTAGGAGCAGAGGCTTTCCAGGCAGAGGGAAGACCTGCGGGAGTGCAAGGCCAGATAATGGTGCCTGGAGGCTCAGTGGGCTGAGATGGTCAACCAGTTCCAGGTCATGATGCAGTCCCACTGGAACAAGGCTCTCCGGCTCTTCGCCACCAGCGGCGCTTCCCTCCAGCCTTTACCCAAAGCCTCATACCAGGCGGCTGAAGCAGACCCCAAGTCGGAATTTCTGCCCCACTCCGACCCACAAAAAATCCCCGAAGGGGGAGACTCTCTGCAGCAACACAAACGTTCATTACACGTATCCAGCCCAGAGGCCATAGTTTGAGGACCCCTGATTTAGTGCAATATAAAAAAATGCAAATAATGTTTCTGTGGACCACCAAAATTTTCTTGTGGACCACCAGTGGTCCACAGACCACCAATGATCCATGAACCACCAGTTGGTGACCACTGCTTTAAATGGTTTGGATACCAGTTTCCAGGTCTCCTTCCCTCCATCTGTGTTGGACTCCAATTCCTAGTGTTTACAGTCCTAGGACCGTTGGAATCAAAACCCAAGACATTTGGGTGGTATCACATGTAACATCTTTTGAAATTCTCAAATGGCATTCATAATATTGCTTGATTCTAGTTCAGCTGGGTTCACACATGATGTGGACTTGACTTTTCTTCCCCAAACTTCAAGTGACTTCTGAATTATTCTGAGTTTGATCTCTTTCTATAGAAAGCCATTTTGCCAGTTTCATCTAGGGATCACTCTATGTTCACTTCACAAATAAACAAGCCACATTTTAACATAATATGTTGTGTGTGTATGAATTTGGAAAGTTGCATTAATTTTGGGAAGCGGCTAAGCTAATTGTTGTAACATTGAACCAGAAAGGATTAAGGTTTTTGTATGATGAGTGAACCCATCCATTGTGTTTTGTAAGCTATAGTCTGTGGCTTATCCTCTTTTCTGAACCCTCCTGCTCCCTATATCTTTTGTGGCAGCCCCTGCCCTCTGAAAGGTTGGGAGGTTAGGTGCCCTATGAGATTGTTATTGTGGAGTGTTTATGCGTTTGCCCTCAGCAACTGTTGGTTATTCTGTTGATATATTTTTCCTGTTGTTTTAATGTGATGATGACTTCCCAGAGTTACATCTGGGAGATGGGGGAACTTATAAAATCAATGTAAAGAATAAAATAAATAAACGTAATGGTTTAGTGCGTGTTCTTGCTAGCCAAATGAGTATTCGCACCAGAGCTTCCCAGTTCTCTCTCTTTACAGGGATGGGCTGTTTTCTCCCTCAGCATCAGCAGCAGCTTCCTCTCGCTCTTCTGCCTGGTGGGGCTGGCGGTGGCCATTGGCCTGACCTTTGCCAACAAGGGCCATGCCCTTCTGTCCATGTGCACCTTTGCTGACATGGAGGTCATTCAGATTGCCCACGAGTGCCCCTTCGACCCCACACGGATCTATGTAAGTCTGCCAGAAAAGGACCTGAAGCTCCTGCTACCAGAAGGTGGCTGTGGTGGGGAAGGGGTTTCTCTAGAACCCTGAAGTGGCTCCCAGGGGAAAAGGCTCAGCAATACTTTGGGGGTGTCATTTTTGCACTGCACTTGGGTTGCTCAGCACTCTGGACAGGATGGCTCATCCTTGGTGGCTGGAAGTTGGCATGGGTGGGTGGCTCCATCAGTTAAGCCATGGTTTCTACCTCTGAAAGTTGGTGGACGTATTTCTGACCTTCCCTTCCCTCTCCTCAGAGTTCTGCCCTGGTCCTCTGGGGTCTCTCCTTTCTCTTGGACTCCGTGGAGATCATCTTCAGCATCCGTTGCTTTCTTATCACTCTTACGATCCTGAACTTGAAGCTTTGTCGCAAGGGGAAGCGCAAGAAAAAGGTAAATCTTCCTCTCCCCCTGTTCCCTGCAGAGTTGGAGGAGGACAGTTGGGGAAAAAGAAGAGGTCTTCATAGGGCCTAGCAGATCTAGCCCAGGTCCTTCTCCGTGCTTTGGAGAAAGGCCTATTATACGCTTCCACCCCCTTCTTCCCCTCCGTAATACGTGGCCAAATTTCCGCGTTCTGTTTATGGCTGAAGATTGGGGGCTCCTTCATGTTGTGACCCAGAGCAGTTCCCCAGAAGAAAGGAAGGCCCTGATGCTGGGTTTCTCCTGGACTGTGAATCTGCAGGATCTGATTATGCATTTAACAGGCTTTCTGGTTTAGATTTGAGCCTTTGAGGGTTTTGAATCATGTCTTAGTAATCAGGCCAGATTTAAATAATTGGTTGTTTGCAACTTACTCATCAATTTGCATCTCATTAAATCTGGTCTTACCAAAAATACCTGTTGAAAAGAGGCCAGCCGCTCCACTGGAGCTGACTTCAGAAGAGCTCAGCCCAGGCAGGTCAGCAGAGGAAGGGCAAGGAAGGTGCTCAGCCTTCTGCCAGTCAGCATTGGAGTGGTCCTTCATGATTAGGAGGGAAAGCAAAGGCTTCTAAAAATACGCATCAGCTGAAAGGAGTACAGGTAGTCCTTGACTTACGACCACAATTGGCACCAGAGTTTCTGTGGCTAAGCAAGGCGGATATTAGGTAGGTCAATCTTTCTGCCATGGCGGTTAAGCAAATTGCTGCGGTTGTTAAGTGAATGGCATTATCTTTAAGTGAGTCTATCCTCCCCATTGGCTTAGCTTGCCAGAAGTTGATCGGGAAGGTCGTGAATGGTGATCACGTGACCCCAGGAAGCTTCCGCCATTGGAAATGCAGGACGGTTGCCAAGCAGTCAAATTCTGACCACATGACTGTATGGGTGGTATGGGTGCTGCAATAGTTGTTGAGTTGCAAGGGCTGGTTGTAAGTCACTTTTTTCGGTAATGTTTTAACTTCATTCGCTAAGTGAATGGTTGTAAATTGGGGAGTGCTTGTATGTCAACATTTGCGGGGGGTGGTGGCCTGGACCCTCTTGTCATTTCAGCACAATGCAGGGTGTCAGTTGCAGCACCATGGCTGCGTCTGGCAGACTTTGATCCTGGATGCCGTTCATGTGCCCTGCAAGAGTATTTAACCGGTAGGAGAGGCACAGCTACAGGTCATCTCCAAGTCCTACCTCGTACCTTGGCCGGAGCCAATCCCCAGAGCCCACCCTAGATGCTTGTGCCTACAACAGGGGGAAGGGGGGAGGAGGTTGGCCTCCCTTTGGACTGATGGCACTGCCTTGCTTTAAAGATCTCGCTGACATTCGTCACCACCGAGACCAGCGACTCCTGCGAGGGACGGGATCTGCTGAGGATGGAGCGCTTGGGTGTTGAGCAGCTGTAGAGGCCAAACGTGTCACTCAGGAGAGCCTGGCAGGCAAAACCCTCACAGACTCTTCTGTGGCACTTTTCTGACTGTCCCTGTTCAGTGTCACCATCTGATTTCACTGACTGCTGGGTGGGCTGGAGCCTGCCGGGAGAAAGGGCTTTCTCCCAAGCAATGAACAGTCTTGTGTTTGTGCATTTCTCCCGCTCATCCTCTGGATGATGTTTCTAGCTTTGACTTCTCAAACAAGACTGTGAGTTCTTCCTTTTTTATTCTGATGCACACATGCGCATACCCTCATGCGTGCCTCTCCTAGGTGGGCAGGCCGGAGGCTGCAGCATTGACTGGAACATCTGGATGGAACCCTGGTGTTCTCTTCGGGGGGGCCAATGATGTTCTGGGTCGTTCTCAGGAGCAAAGTCACCCAGAGTGATGGGAGCCTGATGGCCAGGGAAGAGGCCCTAGCAGGACCACTCAAGAGAGAACGGACCACTCGGGGCCAACTGGGGTTTTCTCTGACATGTTGCTTTCAGAAAGTTTGTATAGTGTTATCACAGCTTAAACAGGGACTAAAAACTATAGTTTCCATTGAAAACTATGGAAAATGGCCTTTAGATGATGGGTTTGTTGACAAAACTGCAAATCCACCCTCACTTTGCTTATCTCTGTAAATATGCAAATCTACTGAAATAATGGATTGGGGGGGCAATGGATCAATCCGCTGCAAAGGAGGCAGACTGGGGAAACCTCGTGTGGTGTCCTGGTGAAGGGAGATGCCAGCCCAGTTTCAGCCCGAGGCTCCCTGGGAGGAGGTGGGGGAACCTTGGTCCAGCTGTATACTCTCAGCCAACCTACCTCACAGGGTTGTTGTGGGGAATGCCAGGAGGATGGAGTACTGTTTTCTGTCTTAAATTCTTGGACCAAAGATGAATAAAAATCTAACTAATTAATTAAAAGAACTGGCAGAGACTTGGCTCTTCCTTCCCTGCTGGCTTGTGAGTTCCTTCTCAGCTTCCCACTTTCTGCAGCTTGCAGGCCATTGCTTCATTTTAGCTTCTGGGGGTTCATTCACAGGGAACAAGACCGTCCACATACACTGCTGCTTGAAGAGCTGGGAGCCCAAATGCAGAGCCGCCTCTGGGACGGCAGCACCTAGAATTCCAGCATCCTGGAGAAGCTGCTTTAGTCTTCCATAGGTGCCTTTTCTCGTCAAGGGCACCTGTTTGGCACAGAGGGACATCGTCTCTAGATGGCTTCATAAATTGCTATGATCTGTTTCTCTCCACACTGTGGCCCTCCCTATTACAAATCCTGTCCCCTCAGCCACAGCCTGATGCTGGCAGTCCAAAAATTGGGATGGGTGGATAATGCATGGCTGCGGAGGGACCTTGTGAGCAAGAGAGCCTGCCAGCATCCAGAAAGCAGGGCCTCCTCCCACGTCTGCCAGATGGGAGGCCTGGGCTTTGGTCCTGGGTCCTCTGCCTGCCCCCCTTGACTTCAGGGAATGGGGAGGAGCTCAGTGGCTGAGAGGGGAGGGCAGGGCAGGGGGGCCTTGGCTGCTGGTGGGAAACTGGGCAGGGTCACTGGCTTTCTGCACCATCCCTACGCTCCCCCCCCGGCTCCATCCCCCACCGGAAGCCAAGAAAATCCCACCTTGCCTTGGGGCCTCTGGAGACTGGAAAGTGCTGTGAGGGGACGGTGGCCTTTTCTCACCAGGAGCAGGACTTCCTGGGTAGCCATCATGGGTACCTGAGCCTGGGCGGGGCAAGGCTTTGACTGGATGGCTGTGGCCGCCATCTTGACTTTTTGACCTCCCTGCCTCATGGACAGTCTCTGCAGGAAGGCTGCTCCCCTCGTCCTGGGTCTGGATGGAATGGTTACTCTCAGCCTTGATTCAAGTCTTGGCCCACCTGCAGGGAGGTTGCAACCAAGAGACGATGCAGATTGAGACCTCTGGCCAGGCTAAAACTCTGCACGAATGTGTACAACCACCACAGGCAGCTCTCACCTGCACACCCAGCCACCTTCCCTAAGAAATAGGTGAGAGGCGGGCAAAACCATTTAATCATGGGATGGGGGGCAAGAAGTTACCACCCAGCAACGTCCTGGCTTCTTTGGTCACTCCCAAAACGAGCTGCAATAAATCAGAGAATTTGGCTCTGTAATTTGGGAAGAAAGTAACTTTGAGCAGACATCTGAACACAAAAGAAATCTGCAGGCTGTGATTCTTTTGTGGCTGCGTTGGGATCGTTTTATAATGAAAAGCAGGTAAGACAATCAACAAATAATTCTACACATACATTTTTCACACCAAGCTCTGGTTGGCAGCTCCCACTAAGCAGCTTTTGAACACTGGTCTCTCTCTCCTCTGCTCCCAAAGCTGCAGGCGGCTGCCTTTTGGGGTGCTGTGTCGCCTGGAGGGGGAGGGGCTGGGCTATCGAAGGAACCCTGGGTGAGATACAACCCCTCCTCCCCGTGCTGCAAACCAGAATCAAAAGGGCTGGCAAGGGGTGTGATGAGGGTGGGTAGAAGGAGGGGTGGTGTAGCCATGACACGAAGGGGGTCTGCTTTGGGCTGTGGCATATGAGCTAAGGTAGTTTGCATTAAATGGCACTGAATGTAGATCAAAGCTGGGCAGAAACTAAATGCTTTGAACCTCTGGTGCTTCTCTGCTCCTGGGAAGGAAGGAAGGAAGGAAGGAAGGAAAAGGAAGGAAGGAAGGAAAGGCTGCTTTAATGGAGAGCAGGGAGACGCAGAAGCATGGGGTCCCCAAAGCACTTTTGACAGGTGCACAGCCCTAAGGGTGCTTATCAGCATTACACAGACCCTGGTTGGAAATACCAGGGCTACTCCACTGAGGGCATCCTAAACAACGCAAAGCAGAGACTTGTACTTCCGTATACGTAACTGATCTGGCCTAGTGTCATTTTAATAATTTATTATGCTAATCTATTAAATCTATATGCTGCCCGACTGGGAGTTGTCCAGGCATATACTGGGGTCCCTCAGTGGCCTTTCAGCTTTGTTGGCATTTGCAGCCGGTGCCTTGGGCTACAGACCTCGCTTTCGCCAGCAAAAGCTGCTCTCGCACTCAGGAGCCCTGCAGTGGGAATACGGCCAGCAGCAGGCGCAGCGGAAGAGGCAGCTGTGGGCGAGCGGCCCCTTTGACTGACCCTAACATGGAGGGCTGACAGAAGACCGGCTGGTCCGCAGACTCCGGCTTTGCCACCCACCCCCTCAGCTGCATCCCAAGTCATGTCACATTCACACCAAGCTAAAGTGTTCAGGGAGCGGGGAAAGGAAAAATATCTGTGAGTCAGAAAAAAACTTCAGTAGACTGGCTGGTGCTCCTTGCTTCGATGTCCAAGCAGGAACGGGAGGAGGCTGGTGACTTCCTCGGAGACGCCCGGTGAAGTTGGGTGCTGTTTGGGGAGGTGGGCTCATCCAGAGCCTCCTGGGCAGTGGGGAGTGCTCAGAACTGGGAGGCACTGCTGGGATCGCACTGCAGCAGCCTCACGATGGAGGGGTCGCTCTTGGCGCCTTTGATGAACTCCTCCAGGGACAGTTTGCCTGGAAAGGAGAAGAGGGGGTCAAGCACAGCCAAAGAAGGAAGGGGGGATGCCAGTCCCAGACGGAGCGGAATTCCCAGAAGGGAGCCCTGGTTGCTTGCTTCTTCCCTGAGAGTTTTCTACTGCCCAACACCCTGTCCAGGCCTCCATCCTCCTCTGAAGTTCCCAGGCCTCCTTGTGCCAAGTTCATCTACCTGCACTCCACCGTGTTTTCTGACAAAGGATTCCTGCAAAGGTACGTCATGGTTTTAGAAAAACTTCAGCAGAGCTCACATGGACGCCAAAGGATTCCTTTTTCCCCCTTCTCATGTGTCAAGTGAGGTTTTCATGTCAAACTAACTATACTGATGTCTTGTTTTTCAGTTTCCCATCTAATCCTTTAAGACTGGCCTTTTCTTTTCCGGACACAAAGTAAGAGTTTTTGTGTATGTGAGAGACCAGCCTTGGCTTCTGCTGAAGCTGTCCCTTAATTTCAACCAATGGGATGTTTGGTGGGAATGACTTCAACACGGGTCCCCAACCCCTGGGCTGCGGCCCACTACCAAGCCACGGCCTGTTCGAAACCCGGCTGCGGGAGAGATGGGTAAGCGTGCGCGTGAGCGGAGGGCACTTACGCTCGGGCATGAAGCTCCACTGACACGAGCGGCAGGCATTTGTGCTCACGGGCAGAGTTTCCCTCATGCGGAGCTTTGCACATGAGCACAAGCGCCCTCTGCGCGCACAAGTAGAGCTTCGCAGACGAGTGCAAGTCCTTGCTGAGTGGAGCTTCGCGCATGAACACAAGCAGCCTCTGCTTGTGCATGAAGCTCTATTTGCACAAGTGAAGGGCATGTTGCCTGCCATTCACACAAATGGAGCTGTGTGTGCGCGCATGCACCTGCCATGCACACGCCCCTGTCCCTGGCTGGGCCCCCAAGCTGGAAAGGTTGGGGACCGCTGCTCCAATGTATTTAGCAGCCACGAGTAGAGTTCAGAGATTTTGCGTTGCTCGAGAACAGCCTCCCCTGGCTGGGGAATTCTGGGAGTTGAAGTCTACCCATTTCAAGCTGCCAAGGTTGAGAAATAGTCCCGGTAGTCGTTGCCTTACAATCCCAATTGGGACCAGAATTTCCACTGCTAAGCAAGGTTGTCACTAAGTGCATTGTGCCTGGTTTTACAACCTTTCTTCGTATGGTTGTTAAACGAATCACTGCCAGTGTTAAGTGGTTGTTAAGCGAACCTGGCTTCTCCCATTGGCCTTGCTTGTCGGAAGCTGGCTGAGAAGGTGGCGCCTGGCAATCGCAGGATCCTGCAGCCGTCGTAAAGGCATGCCCGTTGCCATGTGTCAGTTTCAATCATGTGACCAGGGGGATGCTGAGACAGTCATAAGGGCGAGGACCGGTTGTAAGTCACTTTTTTCTAGTGCCGCTGTAACCATGAATGGTCACTAAGCCAATGGTTGTAAGGTGAGGAATACCCACAGCATCAAATGCTTTCTTTTACCCATCAGTTATTTTAGGCCTGTTTCTGCTTAGAGGCCGGTCTTTTGACCTGCGAAAGAGGTGAGCTGCTTCTGGTGTATGTCACACCCATCCTTTAGGTCTCTCTTTAATGGAGGGGGGGGGCAGAGGGGGAGTAGTCATCTCCCCACAGAAAATATTCAGCTGGCTGAAACGTCCACCCATTTCTCTTGAGCAGCTGCAGCTGCAGAGCTGGTGGCCTGCTGGTCCTAGCCACGGAAGGCCATCCACAATGGGGAAGGGGGGACGTGTCAAAAAATCAAGATGGGTAACAACTGTAGCCCCCTCCCCTTGGTAGTAGCAACTCGAGCTTTTTGATCCTTCTCCCCCGTGGATTTCCTTGCAGGGTCAGGAGGGGTGGGCCAGATTTGCACTGTCCTAAAGCAGGGGTCCCCAATCTTTCCGGCTTGGCAACCCAGTCCAACGCAGTGGGGGTGGGGGAGGCGTGTGAGTGGCAGGCATCCATCCATTTGTGTAAGTGGCAGGTGCGTGTGCCCTCCATTTGTGCGAATGGAGCGCATGCAAGGGCTGGTACCAGAGGTGGGTTTCTGACCAGTTCTGGAGAACCGGTAGCGGAAATTTTGAGTAGTTCAGAGAACCGGTAGTAAAAATTTTGACTGGCCCTGCCCCCATCTATTCTCTGCCTCCCAAGTCCCAGCTGATCGGGAGGGAATGGGGATTTTGCAATATCCTTCCCCTGCCACGCCCACCAAGCCATGTCACACCCACCAAGCCACACCCACAGAACCAATAGTAAAAAAAATTGAAACCCATCACTGGCTAGTACCCTCTGTTCACGCAAATGCCCGCCACTCGCACAAGTATTTATTTATTTTATTTATTTTATTTTATTTCCAATTTATATACCGCCCTTCTCTCTGAGGACTCAGGGCAGTGTACAGCCAGAATTAAGAACATGAAATACAAATATTAAAAAACAATTAAAATGTATATAAATTTGGCCCAAAAATTAAAAATCACAAACCAATTTAAAACTTTTAAAAATTTCTTCTTAAGCCAGCCCGGCTTGCTGGAAAAAGTGGGTTTTAAGGGCACGGCGGAAGGCGCTGAGGTCTTGGATTCTCCTTATCTCTGGGGGCAACTGATTCCAGAGGGTGGGTGCCCCCACAGAGAAGGCCCTCCCCCTGGGGGTCACCAGCCAGCACTGTTTGGCTGATGGCACCCCGAGGAGGCCCTCTCTGTGGGAGCACACGGGTCGATGGGAGGCCGTCGGTGGCAGCAGGCGGTCTCGAAGATAGCTAGGCCCGATGCCATGGAGCGCTTTAAAGGTGATAACCAACACCTTGAAGCGCACCCGGAAGACCACCGGCAAGCGTGTGTGAAGTAGAGCTTCACACACGCTTGCCCCTCTCTCCTGCGGCCCAGTTTCATATAGGTCATGGCCCAGTAGTGGGCCGCAGCCCTGAGGTTTGGGACTCCTGCCCAAAAGCATCTTTGGCCCTCCTTAAAAAATCCAATCTCCGATATTTTCACCTCTTGCTATTCGGATAAAAACGGGCAGGGCTTGGATCGCATGGTTTGGGGCCCCATCCGGACTTTTGTGACTGCATGCCTGCAGGTTCCCCTGATTCCTAGGCAAAATGAGTGCCTTGTCAGTGCAACCTTAGGATCCCAACTATAATCCTTGGCCTCTTCCAAAATTGGGAAATCTGACAGAAAACCTTTCAGCCCAGCCAATTTCTTGCTGCTTCACCCCACAGCTCCCAGGAAGGTGCAAAGGACTCCCTGTGTGGAGAAGCCCCCTCGCTGGACTGGGGGGGCGAGTTCCTAATGCTGGAATGCCACTGTTGCTTTTAAGCGGGCACAACTTGTTGGGCCCATGGCTGCCTTTTGATCTCTACACAGAATGAGAGAGTGCAGCAAACCAAACTTTTATGCAGGTATCCTCGACTTACAACCACAAAAAAGGACGTAAAATTCATCATGAAGTGGTGTAGTTGTTAAGCAAGGCATCACACGGCCACCTTATTCTGTGGCCTTTTTTGCAGAGGTTTTTAAGCGAAGCATTGTGTGACTGCAACTTGCAACCTTCCCGGTAGCTTTCCCATCGACTTTGTCTTTTGGAAGCAACAACACAAGCCCAGGATGCTGCAGCAGCATCAATACACGCGGGTTGCCAGGCACCCAAATTGTGATCATGTGACCATGGAGACACTGAGACAGTCGTGTGAGGACCGGTTGATGTCACTTTTTTCAGCCCTGTTGTAACTTTGAATTGTTGCTAAATGAATGGGTGTGAGTTGAGGATTGCCTGTCATAGGTGCAGACATGTTGCCTTCTGAAGCATGATGGCAGAGGCAGAGCCCCCAACCAGGAGGGACGGCCATCCCTGAGCCTGGAAGATGGGGTGGAAAAAGAGGCTAGCCTTCCCTGCTTCTGCTTTGGCAGAAAGGAGGAATTTACACTATGAATGCCTGCTGAGCAGCCCTGATCTCCCTCTGGCTTCCTCTAATGGGCAGAGCAGTTCACTGCCCTCAGCACCCGGCCCTTTTCCTAGAAGACGACTAACATACGCTGTGCAGTGATGCAAAAATGACCTGCAAGATCTTTTTTTTAAGGGCAGCATCTGACCACCTTATTTTTCTTATTCTTCATCAAATGTAATATGCTTGTGTTGGAAGGAAGGGAGGGAGGGAGGGAGGAGGCCTATATTAAGGCAAAATACTAGAAATTACTAGCCAGCAGTGCCTCCCTGGCAGAGCTGTGGGGCAACCTCCTTCCCCCCCCCCACAGCCGCTTGTCACTGTATTTAATCAGCTTTCCTGCCTTCTTGCTTAAAAGCTCTGGATTTACTGATGAGCTTGTGTCTTAATCTCTCTGTCTCCTCATTTACCATCATTATTGGTATCCATCTGTCGGAAGATTTTTTCCGTCCGTTTCTCGGGGGTTGATTCATCATCTGGCATCTTCATCACTGATGAGACCATTTTGTAGATAGCCTGGAGAAAAGGAAGAGGAGCAGGAGCAAAGTCTGTAGAGGCTTTGGATTCTGCCAAGGACCCCCCAAGATTCCTATGATGGGAAACAGGGCTTGCACTGAATGAGGCCGGCACAGATGGGCTGGAGGGGGACATCCCGGCTACACCCCTGCAGGTAAGCCTGGCCTATTGAGGTGATCCGCTCGGCAGTTGGCAGCCCCACTTTGGATCTACGACGTCTGCCTCTGCTCTTGACATGGGCAAGCGAGACCTCTCTAATCCCACCAACCCAACTCAACATGCTTCTCCTTTCCAACAAATTGGTTTGCGGCTGCCACTGCTTATCCCAGTATGGAAACTGAAAACAAGAGAAAAGTTCAATGTTCCTCAACTTACGAACATAATTGAGCCCAAAATTTATGTTACTAAGCAAGACAGTTGAGTTTTGCCCCATTTTACAACCATTTGCCCCATTTTACGACCTTTCTTGTCCCAGTTAAGTGAATCACTGCAGTTATTAGGTAAGACAGCTGTTGGGCGAATGGGGCTTCCACATGGACTTTGCTTGTCGGAAGGTTGCAAAAAGTGATCACGGAGCCCCTGGACATTGCGACCGTCGTAAATATGAGTTGGTTGTCAAGCATCTGAATGTAAACCATGTGGCCATGGAGATGCTACAACGGTCATAAGTCACTTTTTTCAGTGCTGTTGTAACTCTGAACAGTCACTAAATGAGAAGTTGAAGACTACCTGTATTAGAAATACATTTGTCTTGCAGTTGTTGCTGTTAAATTGTCTATGTGCAATTTGGAAAATAAAAATGTTCAGTATGAATGTTACAGTCCTATTGTGCCTGGCACATTAACAGATGAACAGAGTTGGAAGGGACCTTGTAGGTCATCTAGTCCAACCTCCCGCCCCAAGCAGGAGACTCTACACCAGGGGTGTCAAACTCAAGGTCCACAGGCTGGATCCGGCCGGCAGGGTGCTTAAATCCAGCCCACGGGGCTGGCCAGGAAATATCAAAGGACAGGCCCGTGGTGCCTCATCCAGCCAAAACAGGCTGTACAACCTGTTTTTGGCTGGCAGAGTGCTGCTGGAGGCTGGGGAGGCCAAAAATGGGGTGCGCAGAGTATCCATGTGCCTCCTTTTGGCCAGCAGGGTGCTGTAGGGGGTGTCCGTCCCGTCTCCCGCCCCTGCCCCCCCCCCGCCAGCCCACATAGGCTGATCCGGCCCTCAAAGAAATCTGTTTTGATATCCCTGTCCTACACCATTTCTGACAAATGGCAGTCCAGTCTCTTCTTGAAAGCCTCCAGTGATGAAGCTCCCACAACTTCCGAAGGCAACTTCTGTTCCATGGGTTGATGGTTCTCACTGTCAGAAAGTTTCTCCTTATTTCCAGGTTGAATCTCTCCTTGATCAGTTTCCATCCATTATTCCTTGTTTGGCCTTCAGGTGCCTTGGAAAATAGCTTGACTCCTTCCTCTCTGTGGCAGCCCCTCCAATATTGGAAGACTGCTATCCTATCTCCCCTGGTCCTTCTCTTCACTAGACCAGCCATGCCCAGTTCCTGCAACTGTTCATCGTGTGTTTTAGCCTCCAGTCCCCTAATCCTCTTGGTTGCTCTTCTCTGCACTCTTTCTAGAGTCTCAACATCTTTTTTATAGTGATGACCAAAACTAGATGCAGTATTCTAGGTGTGGTCTTACTAAGGGTTTACAGAGTGGTATTAGTACCTCACTTGATCTTGATTGGATCCCTCTGTTAATGCAGTTTAGGATTGCATTGGCTTTTTTGGCTGCCGCTGCACACTACTGGCTTATCTTTAACTGGTTGTTCACTAAGGCTCCAAGATCTCTCTCACAGTTACTGCTATTAAGCCTGGTTTCACCCAGTCTATATGTGTCCTTTTGGTTTTTCTTGCCTAAGTGCAAGACTTTATTTTTCTCTATGCTGAATTTCATTTTGTTAGATAGGGCCCAGGGTTCAAGTCTGTCAAGATCCATGTGGTTCTTCAGCCTATCATCTAGGGTTTTGGCTATTCCTGTTGCAAATGGATGATAATCCTTAAGTTATGACTGTAATGGGAGCCTGCCCATCAAAATTGTAACTCATGATGATCGCAAAGGAGGTTGGTCATGTGATTGACCTGATTTTAGGACTCTTTTTGTAGTAGTAGTTAAGCAAACTGCAGGGTTGTTGTGAACCAATGGTTCGCCTTAGGTGCGATTTTGCCAAAACCCAGAAGTAACTGCCAGTTTTCGTCAAAACCTTTGTAAAACAAGGTCATGTGATTAGGAGGCACTGCAAACGTCTGTAAATGCGATTCTGTTGCTGAGCACCCGATGTCCAGTCATGTAACCACAGGCTGACTGTCTGAGCTTCGAATCCGGGCCGTAAGCACCTCTCAGGCCCATCAAAACTATGAACAGTTGCTACAGCTACTAGTCATAAGTCAATGCCTACCTGTATGTTCTTTTCTAAACCAGCCTGCCCCAGACTGACTCCTTTGAAGATACTTATGACTAGACTTTCCATCATCCCCGGCCAGCATGGTTGTTGTTCTATGGGGAGAAGATGTGGTCATCCCAGCCCTGGAGGCCAAAGGAGGAAAGGTGCTCTCAGCCTGTTGGCTCTCGTCTCTATCCCTGCCCCAAGAGGGTTTCCCCCCCTCCTTTTCTGCTCCAGGAGCTGAGAAAGATGCATTTACCATCGGCCAGTCTGGGACTCTGGGCCCCCAGGCAGCTCAGGACAGATCTGATGGGGCAGAAGCACTTTTTCCCTGTAATATTCAGCCAGTCTGTTATTCCCCAGCAGACCGTGACAGAATACGTTGACAATTCGCATGCACAACTCGATAGCTGGACTGCTAACAGTAGAAGGGGAGTCAACCAGAATGGCAGCAGACAGCTCAAGCAGGCGGATCCTTTGGGAAAAGCAACAGTCCGCAGAGTAGCCTGAGGACAAGACTGGTCAGCAAAAAATAAACCTTTTGTTTACCCTCAAGTTTCTAGAGGGTAATGGCAAAATTAAGATGGTGACTGTAATTGCAGCTGCACCTATTTTTATATGCAATGCATTTTATGTGCAATCCCTTTTTGGACAGTATCCTGCAATCATCCCTGGTGAGAACCAAAACAGTAACACTGAGGATAGCCTGCGTTATGGGCTTGCAATGTTGATCAACGTCCAGCAGAGGGCACTACAGATACGGGCAGGAGTAAGAAAGTAAGATGGAAATTGAGACCAAGATCTCCACCTACCCATCCCTTCTGGCTGGTCTTCTGGAACTCAACCCAGAACTTCTATGCTGGATGCTGAAAGGAAAGCAGCAAGTTTGTCTGCCAGCTGCTTTTTAATATCCAGGGGCACCTGGGTTGTGAACTGGGCAAATTTATTAACGACACTCACAAATATATTTAGCCAGGCAGAGATGCAGCAGATGCCTTCACACAGCATGCTAGAGATACCTTCAGGGTGGGATGAATCCAGCATGTTTGATTTGCTTGTTGTTTGATGGATTATGAAAAGTCAGACCAGTTAAATTCAACTCCCAGATTAACGCAGCCACTGAATGATTCTCTTGGTCATTCAGTGTCCTTCCTTGGCTGACCCAAAATTATAATCCAAACTTGTCTGAATTGGAAAGCCATCTGCAAAACAACAAGTGCCCAGTCTTTCCCAGGAGACCTCCATGTCCAGGAATGCCCCATAGAGACTCATGGCCTTTCTTAGGATGGGCAACCCATGCCTTTGGTTTTCTCTGGAACTGTTCCCATGTGCCCAGATTAAAGGGCAAAGGGAAACAGGGATGGTGGCAATCAGGAAGGGCAGACCTATCAAGACCATGCTTTGTAAACAGTTTGGGCAGCCATTATGGGAAGGACAAGCCACCTCCAACTACAGGTTTCCAAGGTTCATCAATGCTGCAAACTTCCCCCCACAAAAAAATCTCCCCCTTTTCAACTTCATATGGATGTAAAGAGGTGCCAGTCCCAGGAGGGATTGGAGGACCCAGAGGTCTCCGCACCTCATCTGGGCATGTTTTGCAGTGTCCATTCAAATGCTTTAGACCTCTAAAACAAGAATCTGATTCAGAAGACTCCTTGGTTTCCATCTACCTGCACTAAGAAGGCATCCTCTCAGCAATGTTCTTTTTTTTTCTTCCTCAGAGACCGTATCACCATTAAAATTCAGTTATAGCCCACAGTCCAAAAGATTCACAGCCGACTTGCAGCAATCTGAATTTTTTCTGGCATTCCCCAGAAATCTATCAGTAGCTGCCTTAGCTTAGATGTGATAAACATCAACAAACTGTATCTCTACGTGGAATAAAAAAGAATCCACAAATTGAATTTGACTTTTAAAGCATCCCTTCTCATCTTCTGGGCAGGTGGGGGAATATTCACAGAAGATACTGTTTTTAGAAAACAACAAAACATGTTTTTCTTCTGGAAAATATCACCAAGTGAAGGTTCGTTGATGCAACATAGTTCACAGAATGTATTAAGCTGCATTTTTGGCATGTTTACACTGTGATTCTAAAGGTGCTTTATTCAATAAACCAGACCTAAACAAATTATGTCTTAACACAGGGGTGAAATCTAGCAGGTTCTGACAGGTTCTGGAGAACCGGTAGCGGAAATTTTGAGTAGTTTGGAGAACCAGCAAATAACATCTCTGGCTGGCCCCAGAGTAGGGAGGGAATGGGGATTTTGCAGTATCCTTCCCCTGGAGTTGGGAGGGAATGGGGATTTTGCAGTATCCTTCCCCCAGGAGTGGGGAAGGAATGGGAATTTTGCAGTATCCTTCCCCTGCCACACCCATCAAGCCACGCCCATAGAACTGGTAGTAAAAAAATCTGAAGTTCACCACTGCCTTAACATGATGTTTCTGTCATCCCTGTTCCTACCTGGGAATCAGTTCTGGAAGCTGCCAATACCCAGAAATATAACCTTGGACCTTTTGCAAGTCTAATCCACTCTGCATGTGCATAAAATGAATCTCTAACGTCTGCAAAGACACATTTGAGGGAGCAGAAGAGAACTGTAGGAGAGCCTCTCCCAATTTCCTTACTCTAATCTGCTCTCCTCTGCCCTTAGCTCTACCTCCACCCACCCCACCCAATGCAACCTGCATTTATGGAGCCACCAGAGACAAAGGAGGCGGGGCTTTCGTTCTGAGCCAATGAAGACAGTCTCGGGGGTATCCAAAGACATTTTTTCCAGGGAATTTCTAGATGGCTCTGCTGCCTCCCACACTGAGCATCCTGTTCTCCCACGCAGCTTCTGCTTTTCTTTCATTCCCCAGAAGTCATGAAGGAAGGAAAGGCAGAAGAGCCGCATCCCCCTCAGCCGATAGTGCTGGGACCTCTGCAGTGAAAGCAGCCAGATGCAAAACAGCTGACAGGGAGAACAAAACCAGAGGAAAATTGGTGGAAAACCCTGCTCTCCCTCTGCAGCTCCAAGCCCTGTTCTGACCAGCTCTGGCTCAGTCTGAAAGCTAAAAGCTTTAATCAGTTTAATTGCTAGATTAACAGCACACTTAAGATTAGTTACCCTTTACAGACTGGATTTTCCCACTCAGTAATTAGGGTCCCCTGCTTTAATCACTTCACTCAGCATATTAACCCATGGCTTTAGTTGATTAATTGTGGAGAAGATCTGGGGGGGCGGTTTGGGGGGGACGACAATTTTAAGAACCAGGATGGCCAACTTCAGCTACTTTGACTTCTTAGTTGAATTAAGAACATTTAGATATTTAGAATATTGGGGTTCTCAGAAGTCAGGAAGATGCTGTTTTAAAATGATAAGACTCAAAAATTAGGCCAAAAAGGGCTATGAATTCCTCAGTTCTTCTCACCATCCATCCTTCCCCTTCATCTGACTGCAGAAGAGACTGTTGTTGGGGCAGCTGGCCAGAGCTTGGGGGAAGGGAGGGAGGGAGGGAGGGAATGGGTGAGCCTACAATGTAATTTATGATTTCATGATGCCAGTTCACCAAACCTTCATGCCGTGTTGAGTTCACATAACATGTTAAATTTTACTATGCCTCTTTTAAAAACTATCAACGTTACTCCCCACCCCGTATTTCAGGCTTGCAATCCTCTGGGGGCTGGCATGCTATGGGTGTTTGCGTCTTGCCACGAGCCTTATGCTAAAAGCTGTCGAAAGACGCCTCCCTGGCCACTCATACGTCCAGGCCTCTGAGTTCAGCTCTAGCAACCCATGAAGACTCCGCTACTATGGGTTGCCAAAAGAGATCAGCAAAGGTTTCTCTTGGGAGGCGTCAGGACTTTGCTGGGGGAGGGGGGCGGTGAGGGAGGGGCGACGGCTCACCTGGACAATCTCCAGCATCTCTTCCTTGCTGATGTAGCCATTGCCATCCAGGTCGTACATGCTGAAAGCCCACATCAGCTTCTGCTCCAGTTTCCCCCGGGAGGTGACGCTCAGCGCGATGATGAACTCTCGGAAGTCGATGGTGCCGTCGCCATTGGTGTCAAAAGTGCGGAAGACGTGCTCGGCAAACTTGGAGGCGTCCCCATAAGGGAAGAAGTTGGCGTAGATTTTCTTGAACTCCTCCACATTGAGGATGCCCGTGGGGCAGTCTTTCAGGAATCCCTTGTACCACTCCTGGAGCTCCAGGTCAGAGAATTCGGTGTTCTCCCGCAGGTCTTGGAGCATTTCTGGACGCAGCTTGCTGTTCTGCTTTCCCATGACTGACGCGGGTTGCGAGCTGAAACACAAGGCACAAAGAGAACTTTGGCATCGACTAGGCCCACAAATGTGGCCATTTCTCTGGCTGCCTCTCCAGGGGAACCTCACGCACGTTGTGTGCTTGTTTATACGTGCAACACTGAGTGCTAGAAACTTGCTTCTGGGTTTTAAAATGTAATTTGGATGTTCAACAACTCAGCTCTGTGCTCTATGAAGTCATAGGACACAGAACACAGACAGGCCAGAAAATGTGAGTGTTCCTGTTTCTGTTAGATTATCAAATGGTTCTGTAGTTTGAAGAAAGCAGGAAGGGACATCACGACTTTTTGAAAGGCTAAAACCATTATGTCTCCTCACTCGATTTTGGTCCTTTGGAGGAAAAACACACAGCATCTTCCTCCAGCAGGAAATACCTCTACCTCCTCCCCCATTCTTCTGGGGAGAAGAATGGCATCCTCCACGAAATACACCCCGGCTCTCCCTCTTGCAAGGAATTGTGTTTGTTTTATTCACAATTTTCATAGTTGCATTCAAGGCAATTCATGACTTGGGAATGCAAAAGAAATCAGTGTGGATTAATAAAATGCAGTCCAATAGAAACGGCCAGAAGCAAGTTCTCACCACGGCATCAGAAGCAGAAGCAGCAAAATTAATAGAAATATTTTATGCAAGGCACATCTCAGGCTTACAAAAATAAAGCTGTTTTCGCTTCATGCTGAGAGAAGCCTTGGCAGGGTTGGCAGCAGCCTGATCTGGCCAAGATTGCTGGGCTCCCACAAAACTGACAATCCTGGCCATTTCCTGCCCCAGCCCCAAACCCTTCAAAGTTGTTGATTCCTGGGGACCCAACCGCAGGTTTTGGGAGGGCCTGGGCTTCCCCACTGCATCCACAGCTATGTGAAATTCATCCTGTTTGGAATTTAGTCTTGGTGGCTAAAATGGATTCATTAGATTTTATTTCAAGTTTGCTGGATGATCCAAAGAATTCTTTACAACCATGTTTCTCAGCCTCAGCAGTTTTACCAAGTTTTAATAAGGCAGGGTTTTAGGTCCAACACTCTTCATACCTTACATAAATGACCTTTGTGATTTTATTATTTATTTATTTATTTATTTATTTATTTATTTATTTATTTATTTATTTATTTACATACATACATACATACATACATACATACATACATACATACATACATTTCTATACCGCCCTTCTCCAATAGGATTCAGGGCGGTGAACAGCCAGAGTAAAAAACAGAACATACAAAATTTAAAAGCAATTTAAAATAATTAAATATTTTGGCCGTAAATTAAAACAACCCAATTTAAAATCAATTTAAAATTTAACTCAAGCCAGCCCAGCTAGTTGAAATAAATAGGTTTTCAGGGCCCAACGAAAAATCCGGAGGTCTGTTATTGTACGTAACTCTGGGGGGAGGTTGTTCCAGAGGGTAGGCGCCGCCACAGAGAAGGCTCTCCCCCTGGGGGTCGCCAGCCGACATTGTCTGGCGGACGGCATCCTGAGGAGGCCCACTCTGTGCGAGCGTACTGGCCGGTGGGAGGCTATTGGTGGCAGAAGGTGGTCTCGTAAATACCCCGGCCCTAAGCCATGGAGCGCTTTAAAGGTGGTCACAACACCTTGAAGCGCACCCGGAAGACCACCGGGAGCCAGTGCAGCTCGAGCAGGAGAGGTGTCACATGGGAGCGCCTCGTCGCCCCCATAATCCCCCACGCGGCCGCGTTCTGGACCAGCTGGAGCCTCTGGGTGCACCCCAGGGGGAGCCCCATGTAGAGAGCATTGCAGTAGTCCAGGCGGGAAGTGACGAGTGCCTGAGTGAGTGTGCGTAGGGAGTCCCGATCTAGAAAGGGGCGTAACTGGCGTATCAGGCAAACCTGATAAAAAGCCCCCCTGACCACGGCCGTCAAATGATCTTCTAAAGACAGCCGTGCGTCCAGGAGGACGCCCAAGTTACGAGCCCTCTCCGTGGGGGCGAGTAATTTGCCCCCAATGGCGTCAGCTGGCTATATTGGGACACCGGAAGCCACAAGAGCAACTGTGTTCTCTTCGCTGATGATGTTAAACTATTCAACACCACCGACAATACAACTACCCTTCAAAAAGACCTTGACTATGTGTCAGATTGGTCTAACAAATGGCAACATCAAATCTCAACCAACAAATGCTCTGTCTTGCACATTGGCAAAAAAAAAAAAAAAAATCAAAACATAAAATACAAATTAGATGGACATGACCTTGTAGATGACCCTCACTCTGTCAAGGAACTTGGAGTACTCATTTCTAAAGATCTAAGTGCCAGAGCCCACAGTAACAACATTGCCAAAAAAGCATTAAGAGTTGTTAACTTAATCTTGTGTGGCTTCTTCTCTGGTAATATTGTACTACTAACTAGAGCATACAAAACATTTGCTAGACCAATTCCTGAATACAGCTCATCTGTCTGGATCCGCACTGCATATCGGACATAAATACAATCAAGAGAGTTCAGAGATATATTACAAGAAGAGTCCTCCATTCCTCTAACTGCAATAAAATACCTTATGCCACCAGACTCCAAATTTTGGGCTTAAGACAATTTAGAACTATGCCGACTTCAGTCTGACCTACGCATAGTACATAAAATTATCTGCCACAATGTCCTTCCTATCAATGACTATTTCAGCTGCAACCACAACAATACATGAGCAAATAATAGATACAAACTCAAGGTAAACCGTTCCAAACCCGATTGCAGAAAATATGACTTCAGTAACAGAGTGGTCAATGCCTGGAATGCACTACCTGACTCTGTAGTTTCTTCCCCAAAACTTTAACCTTAGACTGTCTACTGTTGACCTCACCCCTTTCCTATGAGATCTGTAAGGGTGCATAAGTGCACCAGCATGCCTACCATCCCTGTCCTAATATTCCTTTTTACTTACTCTTTTCATGTATTCAAATTATGTTTATACTTTTACCTGTTATCTTATATATGCTTGACAAATAAATAAATAAATAAATAAAATAAAAAAATTGTCAACTTCAGCTCCCAGAAGTCACACATTTTAAAATTGCTGAGGTTGCAAAACACCAATCTGGAAGGACAGATGTCATATCCCCCCCAAAAAACGGGGGGGATACAAATACATATATTAATTCAGAAGATTTTAAAATTCAATTGAAACCAGAAACTTTTGGGACTACTGGATAAGTAACTAGAAAAGTCAGAGAACTTTGTTTTTATGTATGTTAACTGCAGTGACACTATTCTTCCCCACAGTGGAGGAATGGTTGGTGAAGATGGAGGGACTTGCAGAGATAGTTAAGTTGACCTTGATCAGAGAAAACACAATGTCTATGTTGATGGCTGACTGGAAACCCCTTATAGTCCTTTTGCATGAAACAGAAAAAATGTATTAATGATTTGTGGTTTTGATTAGAAGAAAACATTGAATAGGAAAAAAAGTGAGCTTTTTTTTAGAATAAGAGAAAATTTTGTAATTGTATCTATATTTGCTGCAAAGGAAACTGGAAGCTTCCATTTCTTTTTTATTCCTTCTTTCTGAACATTTCCTTCCTTCCTTCCTTCCCCCTCTCTCTCTTTATCCATAGGTTTCATGTTCTTTTTAAAACTTAAAATTTATACAAAACAAATGTCAGATTTTTTTTGTTGGTGATGCAAAACATTTGGGGACTCATTGACTCATCTTTTTTGGTCTTATGGGAGTCTGACACCTTTTTGAAATAACACTGTATATACATTTATGGACAAATATTTTAACATTATTTTTTTCAGTCATTAACCCTTCTACAGCTGATCCTTGACTTATGACCAATTGGTTAGTGCCTGTTCAAAGTTATGAGGGACTTCTGGAGGGCTACTCACCACTTAGTTTAAATGATTGCCCCTCCACCCCATGGTCATTTTGGGATCCGCATTTTGGGAGCTCAACAACTGGCCCTCATTTATGGTCACTTGCAGCATCCAGTGGTAACATGACCACAATTTGACGTTTTTGATAAAAACTGAAGTTTACTTTGGGTTCTCAATAAAAATGCAAGCCTGACACCCATAGTGAACAATGGCTTCATATTACGGCTGCTGCATGCACTTAATGACTGTTGCTAAAAAGGCCGTAAAATTGGGTTGGTCATCTGGGTGACCCACATTATGACTATCCTAACTAGCTGTATAACATATGGCATTGCCAAGTTCTGTGCAGCATTGCTCAAAATTGGTTGGGTGGTAACTTGTGTTAGGAACTGGATTTAATGGGCCCCTAGTTCACCACATTAGAATGTGTTGTAACTTGATAGCCTTCCACATAGCAGCCTTTTATACTCCCCTAAATCCAAGGCGGCTGCAATGGCTCAGCAGTTAAAGAAGGTGAGCTTGTCAGTTGAAAAGCGGGCAGCCCAGGGGTGAGCTCCCGTTCCTTGCTCCAGCTCCTGCCAACCTAGCAGTTCGAAAGCATGCAAGTATGAGTAGATAAATAGGTACCACTTCGGTGTGAATGTAATAGCGTTCCGTGCATCTCTGGCATACAGTCATGGTGGCCAGATGACCGTAGAAAAGTCTTCGTACAACGTTGGCTCCCTTGGCTAGGAAACGGAGATAAGCACCGCCCCTTCCCTCGAGTCAGACACGACAGGGAAGCCTTTCCCTTTTTTACATGATCATCCAACCCCTTCTCACTTTTTATATACTTTCAGTTTTTAATTCATGTCTTCTAGCATTTTATAGGTTTTTAAATATATATTTATTTTTACTGTATCTCACTTTCTTTAAACTGGTCTATAACTATTATAAAGATCTGAAAATTAGAAATGTTAATGTTATGCTAAATTATATCCCCAAACTTTGAAATCTGACTGAATGGAATTACAGTTGTATCAGGCAGAGGTTACTGCTAAGAACATTGCTTTAAGAAACTGGAAAAGTAGTATTATTCCCAGTTTTGGAAAAGAACCAGATTTCTTAAAGGTGCTTTTTCAAGAGGCAACTGGACTTTCTTGTTTTTCTT